AAGCCTCCAAGCCCCCTTTGCTTTGATTGGCTATGTGAGCCGGGACAAGGACAACCTCTCTGAGCCTCCTTTCCTTGCAGGGTTGCTGTGGGGATTAGAAGAGAAAATGTGAGAACAGTAGAAAGAGTTCTGCTACATGAAGTTGGAATTCATGCTAACTTCACAGTGCTCTACGTCCCTCATCCGTGGAATGGGGAGGACAGTAGTAATGGTCATATAGGATAGTGAGGATTGAATGAGTTAAATCTGTAAAGTGCCTAGAACTGTGCTTGAAACATAGTAAGTGCTGCTCTTATTAAAAAGAAGGTCCTGAAATGGGGCAAGTGCTCAACAAATAGACTGGCAGATTTGCCATGCAACTTTCCAGCACTAAGCCCTATGCTTTACATACCTGCTCTGAGGGTTATGGTGTCTCACTGAGACTTGGTCTCTGTCTCATTGACCTTATGGTTTAACTCAGAAGTTACAGGAACGTGCCCATCCAGGTAAGGTAGTATGTGACTGGTCCATGAGCAGCACTGACCATGAACATCATGTGGCTTCAGTGCAGGAGGATAGTGGAGGAGTCCTGGTAGAGGAGATGGGACTCCCGCCCAGTTGGACAAGCAGAGGGGAGGGGAACTGCCTGTGGGCAGGGACAAGCATGGGCAGGCAGGAATGTACATGCAGGGGTGGGAGAAGCATGGCGGGAGATGGGTAAGAGCTGATGTGCAGAGGGATGAAGGCCTGACTAAGCCATCTGGCTTTACTATATGGCAATGGAATGTCCCTGAAAAATTTCCTAGCAGAATACCATCATGATCAAAGTGTCTTCGATGGACTTATGACATATATCACAGTGGTTCTCAATCATGGTACTGTACCATACCAGTGGGATATGATCCCTAGTGAGGTGTATATAAAGTAACACAAGCCAGCACCAAAGATGATGATGATGATCATGTTTAATAAATTAGAGAAGATTCAGGATACCTATGCACTAAATATGTGTTTCAAAAGCCAACTAAACACAAACCAACAAGGTATTTAAGCTACACTGATAAAGATAAATAAGTCATTCACACAAGACCAGAGATAAAAACCAAGGGATGCAGTATCAAGTTGTTGAACTGAAATAAAGAAGGCCCCCTAAGCCAAAGCTAGAATTTGATTTTTGTTTCATTTTTACTGGTTTCTAAAATAAAATTTTAACATATGTACCTGGACTGCATGCTAGTCCTCTCCAGACCTGCAGAATGGGTAACTGTTGGCTACTTGCCAGTTGTCAGGCAAATGCTCTATAAAAGACAAGGGAGGTTGCATTTCTACCCGGCAAATGACAATTCATGTGGTTATGCTTTTTTTTCTTCCAGGAAAAACGTGTAACCATGAAGTCAGTGGTAGCCCAGTGTTCAAAGGGCAAGGAGAAGGAGTCACTCCCCTCAAAAGCCAAAGTTCATCACGTTACTATGTCGTCTTTGAATGAAGCATTTGCCACCGCATCTGCTTTTCTTTCATCTGAAGAAAGACTTAAGGTGGGTGTTGAAGGATTAGAGACCTCAGCACTATCCTCTAGTAGATCCAGGTAGAAAAGAGCATATGAGTGCACAGCAGGTTCCCTTCTTCTAAGAAGGACTACCAAGGAACCAGGGGGCTAATCGGGCAAATGGACAGTCAATAGCTGGTGTCTTTTACTAAGGGGGGTCCTAAGACAACAGCCAATTAGCTTGGAGCCCCCCAAGTTACTCCTGATTTATTTCACCATATGGCATAAACAATGACTTCCTTTCCTTTAACAAGTGTTTGATATTAGCTGATTTTATCGAACAAAGCTTAACTAAAAATGTATTATAGGAAATCATGTAAGAAGAATAGTCTGTTGTTTCCTCTAGGTTTAGAAAGATTCTTAAAAATGACCAAGGATTCTTAAAACAGACCCTACACACCACATGCCTAATGGGTTTTCTCTAGAGGATAGAATCACTTTCTATGTTCTTTATTTTTTATTACGTTTGAATATATTTCACAATTACTATGTATTACATATAAAGAAGACACTTTAAAAAAAAAGATCTTAATAAGGTGTAGTTAGTAGCTCATTGGATGAACTTCAAAGGGCTGTTTACTATTAGTTTCCTGATCTGAAAAATGAACTTAAATCTGACTCAACCTCAAAGGCCTCTCCTTAATGGAAGGAAGGAGAAAAAGTTTTCAAAATAAATTTGTGTCTTAACATGCCTAGGAGATGGAAAATGGAAGAATAATTGACTTTTTGGAAATCTGTATTAAATGGGGACAATGGGCGTGGGGGTGGGGGTGGGGGTGGGGGTGGTGGTGGTGGTGGTGGTGGTGGTGGTGTGGTGGCAAAAGACCAAAAAAGGTCACGTATATGGATGTGCTCTAAAAAGTGAGGAAAAAAAAGTCATAGGTCACTGCCATTATTCAGCAACAGGAGTGGCTATTAAAAAGAGGCTGGGGGCGGGGCGCCCTGGGTGGCTCAGTTGGTTGAGCATCCCACTCTTGGTTTCAGCTCAGGTCATGATCTTGAGATTGTGAGATCGAGCCCTGCAACTGTCTCTGTGCTCAGCAGAGAGTCTGCTTCAGATTCTCTCTCGCTGTCCCTCCTCCTCTGCCCCCTCCCCGCTCTCGCATGCTCTCTCTCTCTCTCTCTCTCAGATGAATGAATGAATGAATGAAATCTTAAAAAAAAAAAAAGGTTGGTGTTTCATTGAGTTTCACTGCTAGGTCAGTATGAGAACCCATAACCATAAGACATTATATAATATATAAAGTCAGAATTTTCAGGGCATGTGGGGCAGTATTCTTGATCTAGTCATTCATTTTGTCATTCAATAAACATTTTATCCAGAACTTACTATGTACCTAATAGAGTCATGCATTAATAATCTGATGACTTAATACAGCAATGGAGGTTGATTTGGGTTGATTCCCGGTCTTGTCTTAGGGTTGGCATTAGTTAGTGGTGCAGTTTGAGGTCATGGATTCATTTTAGTTAAAGCTAACAGTATAAATATACTAGAACCAGGAGACCTGGGGTCTCAACCAGGCTTTATGATCTTGGCAAGGCCATATCTAGGCGATAGTTACATCATGTGTAAAACAAGGGGACTCATATATAATCCCTGATGGCTCTTTTGGCCATAGTAGTCTGCAACAATGAGGTATAGGGGAAAGGATCACATAAAACTGGGTTGATGGCCAACCCTAAATTTGCTACCTGTATGAGCCTCAGGTCTCTTAAACCTAAAATGAAGATAATACAACTGACTTTTCACTGATTGTTGTGAGGATTAACTTCAGTTAGGTGTGTAATAATATTTCTTTCTTTTTTTTTTTTTTAACAATGCTGGTACATAGGCATTCAAAATATATAATATCCTCTTGATTTCCACAAACCATCACATAGGAGCATGGTATTTATGAGCTTAGCCACATATATATTTAAGCTCTAAAAGGAAATAGTCAATATCTTTTTCCAGATGCTTTATATTTTAGAGTTTTGCTCACTGATTACTCTTTGATTCATTGAGTGCTTTACTAAATCCTAGTCCCAAGATGAGCAGAGAGAAGGAAGGGGCTCTGCCAAGTGATAGTGGAAAAGCATCCTTTGGTGCATGGCAGTCTGGAAATGGCAGCCCCCCCCAACCCCGGCACTAAGGCAAGGGTGTGTAAGCTGCTATGCCCGCTCAATTGGATAACCATATAATTTATCATTTTAGTTGGGACACTTAAAAATTTTTTTAAGATTTATTTATTTTTAGAGAAAGAGAGAGCAAGGGTGAGTGGGGGCAGGGGCAGAGGGAGAGAATATTTAAGCAAACTCTCCACTGAGTGTGGAGCCTGATGTGGGGCTTGACAGGGGGCTCAATCCCATGACCCATGAGATCATGACCTGAGCTGAAACCAAGAGTTGGACACCTAAATGACTGAGCTACCCAGGTGCCCCAACTGGGGTAATTTTGAGAGTGAAAAACTGTTTTAGTAAAACTGGGATAAACTGGGGTGCATGTCCCTCTCACCTTTCAGGCTTACTTTTTGTGACCATTGTTGTCACTTTATAGGTACCTCTGATAGCCTCATGGAGAAGAAATGAAAAATAAGGTTCTATCCAAATAATCTAAAATTTCTCTGTTTTTTGAAGGCATGGAAAAAATTACTTAACTGAAGTTTGATAAATACATATTAATTTTAGATAGAATATTATGATAAAATAGTTGTGTTTGTATTATTACTATGTATGCTCTTGAGGGGGGTCAGTGAAGTTTCTCTGTAAAAGGACAGAGTAAATATCTTAGGTATTGTAGGCTAAATGGTTTATGTCATAACCATGTAGTTCTGCCCCTCCAGGGCAAAAGCAGCCATGGACAATACATAAAAGAATGGGCATGGCTGTGTTCAAATAAAATTTCATTTATAATAACTGCTTGTGAGAGGGATCTGGCTTTGGGCTGCAGTTTGTCAACCCCTGCTTTAAAACAATAGTTCCTAGATTTTGGAATTCACAGGACCAGGAAAATTTTTAAAATGCTGGAATTGATTTGACTTCTAATCTGTTATTTTGGTAAGTAATTATATTTAAAAGAAAAAAAAGAAAAGTCATTGCCTATCACCTTGGCCTCTTAGGATTTTAAAACAGCAAAAAACTTTTAGAAAGGGCACAAATTCAGAGCAAATTTAGCTTTGTGGAAAACCAACCACATTGTCCTTATTTTTAAAAAATGTTTTCTTAGTTTGGTAAAAACTTTGTTGTGAATATACTTGGTTTAACAGATGGGTCTTGAATTGCTTTGGGAAGACACTGGTGTGGAACCATAGACAGAGCACAGTATTTATAATGAAAATATCTGGATTTGAATAAGGTTGAGAGAGTACTAAGAAGGGAGGGAGGAACAGACCTTGGACGTTCCTTTCACGGGACAAAACTCCTTGACGAGAGCGTCCCTTGCCCTGAATCAGAGTTGTGTACACAAACTCTAGTATCGAGTAACTTCAGAACTCACCGGTTGCCACTGTGCAGGGTACCAGGCAGGGGGGCAGTTGAAGCGGTTACAAGCTTGCACTGTGCTGGGCTTGGGCTGACGGCACAGTTCATCGGCCAGGATTACGGTTTCATTCATCTCTCTGGAAAGGAGGTGGGAGCAGAAGACATCTCTGGTCTGCAGGCCAACCCCACAGGTGAGACTGCAGGGACTCCACTTGCCAATTTCCCACCTGGGAAGAAATCAGAGAGGCCGAGGACATCCTTAGTACCTGTGCAGAGAACATCATGACATCAAGTGTTGCCAAGAGAGTAAAAACACATACCTGGGAATGTGGGAATTTCCAGCACAAGACTGGCTAGGAATTCTACCCCAAGCCTAGAACGCATCCTCTCCTACATGCTCTAGAATTCATTTTGAATAAACAAAGAGGGTGATAAAATGGAATGTCCATTTTTACCCACAAAATCACCAAGAATGGTTGCAACCATGTCTATTTGGATGAAATATACAAACTTCATCAAAATAAGGCTACCGGTATGCTAGATATAACACAGGTTTGAGTGCAGAAAGGCTTTGGGCACTAGGTATTGAACAGCCTTTCTGCTAATCTGTCTAGTCCCCATTCTTAGCAAGACTGAAGAATCTGTGCTTGTTTTTCTTTGGCTTCAAAGTGAAAGGTAATTGGCTCCAACTTCCTTCAAACTTCCAACATAGCATAGAAATGTCTCTGTCTTATGTATAAATATCATCACTGCCTGGGACTGGAGAATGTAACAAAAGTAAAGGTTGCTAAATAGATCAGTCTTCTTGAGGGGAAATAAGTGGAGAGAATGGCTCATTATCTGGAAGTAGAAGTCAAATACACACAGAGGAGTTGAGTACATAATTGGCCATTCCAAATGGCCAAGTCTTGAGAAGTACATTTACAGTGAGCTGAGGGCCTATAAAAACAATCCCACTCCATTTCCCTGTTGATGCAGCCATCAGAATGGGAACGATAAGGAAAAAGCTCAGTTGCCTGGGCTTGGAGTAAGAAGTGTTCTTTAATCATCAGTTTTGGAAAGTTCTATTTACAATATGAGGCACAGAAATTCTACAAACAGAAGTTAGCCAAGGAAAGCATGGCAAGTAGATCCTTCAGTAGCTAGGCCTTCCTAGCTTTTGTAGCTAGCCTTGAAAATTGGCTTAAAAATCTTTGGCCTTCACATTTTTTATCAGACTGCAAAACAGAGTACATACTCTCTCGTTTTCTTTCTGTTACTCTGATATGTAACTACCTTACTAACCCCTATTGCCACTGCCTCCTTTCATCTATCCTGTGTTTAAGTCATATGTGTAGCAGACAATTTCATTATTCTCAACTCACGCCCCCTGGTTCTCCAGCTCTGTCTTTACTCAAGCTGTTACTCTGAATTTGGAATACGTTTTGTCATTTCCTTGCCCATCCTTCAAAATGTCTTTATTTCTGGGTATCCCAATTTGGTCCATGTTCAAAGGATGTGTGCCTGCTTCTAGATGGTTAATGTACATGGTTAATAATTTCTTGATAAATGAGCAAATGGAAGGGACCTACCAGCAGAGTGGGTGCTTTACACCCATTTAATTACCTCCAGAACAACATGAGATAGACTCTACTGATTTCCCTCATTTTATAATTGAGGAAATCTGAAAATCTAAGAGGTTGACTTGCCCCAAACCCGTAATTTGTAAGTTGTGAATTCAGGATTCAGACTTGGGTGTGTTTGGCTCCAAAGCCTTAGTCTATTCTATTGTACCACGCTGTCTCCAGGAAAACTGTCCTATAAACATTCACAAAATTTTAAGTCAATAGAAGAGGAGAGGCTGAATTGAATATATATTTCTTTTAGATCGATCTTTGTGCGAATTTCTATAAACTTATTTTTAGATCCCTAGTTTGGGTAAATTCCTAGCTTTTAAAATGTTGTGTTTTAAAATATATCCACACATTCTTTGCCACCTCTTCCTTCTAAAGATGAAGCCTTGAGTCGGGGCTGAACTTAGTGGCTCACTTGTAATGAATAGGATGAGGCAGAAGTGAGGGTATGTGACCTCTAAGGCTAAATCATAAAAAGGATATATTTCCATTTGGCTCTTTGCTCACTCTGGGGGAAGCCAGCTGTCATGTCATGAGCACACTCACTCAGTCTTCAGGAAAGTCCACATGCAAAGGAACTGAAGCTGTTCACCAAGAGTTGGCACCAACTCGCCAGTCATGTGACTGAGCTACCTTGCAAGCCGATCCGCTGGACCCAGTCTAGCCTTCAGATGATTGCACCCTCACGAGAGACCTCGAGGCAGAATTGCCTTTCCAAGGCGTTCCCAGATTCCTCACTCATTAAATGGTGAGAGGTAAAAAACATTTATTTCTGTTGTAAGCTACTAGGATTTGGGGAAATTTGTTGTGCAATAATAGACAACTAATACAGCATAACCCCCACTCAAAACATGCATATGTTCATCAAAAGACATATATAAGAATATTAAAAGCAGCACTACTGATAATAGCCCAGATGGGGAACAATCCAATGTCCATCAATAGTTGAGTGGATAAAAAATTATGATATAGTCATACAAGAACACTGAACAGTGAGAATAAACTATAACAACAAGCAACACAGATGACTCTCACAAACATAGAATTGAGGAAAGAAAGCTACAAGAGCAAAAATCATACTGTGCTCCCATTTATATAAAGTTCAAAACTCAAAACTAATCTATGATGTTAGAAATCAGGTTGGGGGTTACCCTTGGTGGGCAGTAACTAGAAAAGGGCGACTGGGGGAGGAATTCTGGGATGTTATCTTGATCTGGATCCACTTTGTGAAAAATCATCAAGACATACAATGTACGATTTGTGCACTTTTCTCTATGTTTGTTATGCTTCAAAAAGGGGTGTTCTCCCCCCCACTTTTAAGTGAAATGTTAAAATGTTGTGGCTGTGAAACAAAATCCAACAACCATGCTCAATGCCAGTGACCACAACGTGTGTGTCTCATAAAGGAGCTGCCTACACAGTGAACGTTGTCCAAGGTTGAAACCTGTCATAGCACAGGCTCTCCACTTCCACTGCCGCCATTCCTGCCTCCACCTCTGGCAGAAATTCAGTCACTGGGACCTTGAAGCAGAGGCATTTTGGCAGCCATGAGGTCACTTCAACACTGTTCGTCAAACTCACAAAATAGACATATCTGCTTACCCATGATAAAACCACATTGCATTCCCAAGGGAGGAGGTCAGCAGAAGCTATCTGTGTATTAAGTACTTTGCTGATTGAAAGTATCTGAATCAACTTAGGCCAAACAAAAAAAAAAAAAAAAAAGAGAGAAAGCAGACTCCCCTCTTCCCCCCCACCCCCTATTTCTCTGCAGAGGGGCTACATTTGTGAGCCTTGGGTCTGGCTGGCTGCTGATAGAACCTTCCTGCATTCTGTGTATTTGGCTGTTTCTTGAGGGAGTGCAACAGGCCAGGAGGGAGGAGAAAGCCTGGAGGCAGGATTGGCTGGCTTGCAGCCTGTGAGGCACTTACAGGCCTTCCCTGAGATTCTGGGGCCTGGCTTTCCCACAAGCCCGGTGATGGGAGGGGACAGGAGCTCAGAGGATGAGGGCATTAGTGCTTTTCCCTCTACTTTGCCTGGTTCACTTTTACTCATCTTTATGTCTTCATTGACAGTGGTACTTCCTCAGGGATGAAGTCCTCAACTTGGTAAAATTTGCCTGTTATATAGTCTCACTAATACCTCCCCCTTTGGAAATTTTCAACACGTAATAAAATTACTGTGGTAAGCCCACAACATAAGATACCCTCTTAACAAAATTTTAAGTGTACAATATAGTATTGTTGACTATAGGTACAAAGAGCTCTAGAACTTACTCATCTTGCTTAACTGGAACTTTGTGCCTATTGATGAGTAACTCCTCATTTCCCCCTCCCTCTAGCCCCTGGCAACCACCATCTATTCTTTGATTCTATGAATTTGATTGTTTTAGATATCTCATATAAGTGGAATCATGCAGTATTTGTTCTTGTGTAACTGGCTTAATTCTCTTAGCATAATGTTCCTGAGGTTCATCCATATTGTCACACATTGCAGACTTCTTTTTTAAGGCTCGATAGTATTTTACTCTATGTATACACCACATTTTCTTTATCCATTCATCTGCTGGAGGACATTTAGCTTATTTCCACATACTGGCTATTGTGAATAGTGCTGAGTGAACATGGGAGTGCTAATATCTCTTTGAGATCCTGACTTCAGTTCTTTTAGATAAATGCCCAGAAGTGAGATTACTGGATTATATGGCAGTTCTATTTTTAATTTTTTGAGGAACCTCCATGCTGCTTTCTACAGTGGCTGCACTAGTTTGCCTTCCCACCAACAGTGCACAAGGGTTCCAGTTTCTCCACATCCTTGCCAACACTGTGGTCTTTTGCTTTATTGGTGATAGCCATCCAGACCAGTGTGAGGGGATTATCTCACTGTGGTTTTGATTTGCATTTTCTTTTATTATTTTTTCTTTTTAAATTTTATTTATTTATTTATTTAGAGAGAAAGAGAGAGAGAGCAGGTGGGGAGGGGCAGAGGGAGAAAATCTCAAGCAGGCTTTGCCCAGCACGGAGTCTGATGTGGGGCTCAATCTCATGACCCTAAGATCATGACCTGAGCCAAAATCAAGAGGCGGATGCCTCAATCAACTAAGCCACCCAGACACCCCTGATTTGCATTTTCTGATGATTAGTGATGTGGAGAATTTTCTATATACAGTTGGTCATTGGTAGTCTTTTTTGGAGAAATGTCTTGCAAGTCTTTAGCCCATTTTTAAATTGGGTTATTAGATTTTTTTGTTGTTGTTGTTATTGAGTTGTAGAAGTTCCTCCTATGTTATGCAGATAAGGTCTTTATCAGAAATATGGTTTGCAATTTTTTTCTACCTGTTACTCTGTTGAGTGTTTTCTTTGCTGTGCTCAGTGAACCTGTAATCTGACTACCCTGCTCCACTGCTACCTTGATGAAAGCATGGGTCAATGTTTATTTTGGTTTAGCACTTGTTATGGGTTCAAGTGTATCCCCCTGAAAGGTATGTTGGAGTCCTAACCCCCAATAACTCAGAATGTGACTTTATTTGGAATGGGGTTATTACAGATATAATCACTTAAGGTGAAATCATACTAGAGTAGGGTGGGCTTTTAATCCAGTACGAATGGTGTTCT